TCTTTCCCTCTCATCCATTTACTTTACCCCTTTCCGCCCCTGTTGGAAGCTCTGCTCTCCTCCCTGTTGCGGGAGCACTGCGTAGCCATGCAGGTGATAGCATCCAGAGTTCATCTCCTCTCCTAAACGGAGATACCAGGCACTGCTGCTAGTCTGGTTTCCTAAGAAACACAGCTTATGCCATGGTGATGGGTATGTGAGAATGTATGTATGGCCATCCCAGTCCTTCAGTATTTTAGATCCACTGGGTTAATACAAGCCTAGTATGGCTGCAAGTCTAGGAGCTTCAGGCATATTCAGCATCTCCTGATGCTAATCAGGATGCAAGGCGGTGATAGCAGCCATCCCCACCAAGGGGAAAAAGCTGTGGTGTGAACTCAATCCTTACTAGACACCAGAGAATCACATGGGAGAGTGCTGATGAAGACAGCCCTGGCCATTCCTAGAGCAGCTCAACCCATGTGTTTAGCTCTTGTTAAGAGCCGCAGAAACTCTTACCATTCATGAAGTGGGGCTCCACGACCACACAGGATCCCAGGGGATCCCAGCGCACTTAATGTGAGCCAGGAGGGTGAAGGCAAGCCTGGTGCTTGGAATTGCCTACATCTGCAGGGCTCTGCTGGGGAAGCCACGGGCCTACTCTACCTGTCTGCAACCTTCCCACCTGAGGAAGGTACTGCCGTTTGTGGGAATGGCATGGCGAGGAGCTGCTCAGGCAGGGGAGGAAACCACTCGGCACAGAGACAATTGAGGGACTTTGTGGCAACAATGTCTCTCCAAAGTGCCCAGGTGCTACAGGTCCTGGGACTGGTGGGTCCCAACAGTCACCAGTGAACTGAAGACACTTCCATATGAGTCGCCAAATAGACCCTCTAGGGACATCTCTCCTTCCCTGTCCCCATAGGTAACTTCCTAAGCTTGAATCTGTGATGCTCTTGAGCTTTAAAACCCTTCTCCCTGAGATGCTGGGCTGGTATTAAAGGTACTGAGGACAGCTAGACCTAGCTCTCGGAACCTTGGATGGCAGCTTTCTGCCATCTGTAGCCTGAATACCTTCCCCTGCTCACGAGGGAGGCTGCACCCTGCTACAGTGTCTCCTGAAGCAAGAGAAAAGGGCTGTGACAAAGCTGCCACAGTGTCACCTCTGGACTTGGCTGCTTTACCCACTTGTGTTGTGTTTGTTTGCTTTTCCATGCTGATGCAATGAGTTAAGTAATTCTGTGGGTTGTGCCAGCCACTGGCAGGCTGGCATCGAACATATGATACAGATTGTCTTTGCTGGGGACGTGTCAGTCCCACTTTGTCCCTATATAAAATATAGCTTCTCCCAACCTGAGTACCTCTGCCTTCTCCCAGCTGTCAGGCCTGTCCCACATGCCTGGTCTTTCCCTTTTCCCATATGCAACCTGAGGAAACGCACATTTCCGAAGGAAGGGAAGCAGAATTTGACTTGGAGCTAGATCTCCTCTGAGCCCATGGTGAGATTTCTCTCTGCTGCAGATACAGAGGCTCGTGTAGGCTGGAAGGTCCACTGGAGGGGAAATGTCCCATTGATCTCCTTTAGGTGCATTGCGATGACAACATCTTACATAAATATTTCTCTTTCCCATAGCTAGGCTATGTAGAAGATAAAGACCTCGTTCTGCTTTTAAGAAATCTAGCAGCATTACTGTGGCTATTATCCTGGACCAGCATGGTCTGTGCATCTGAAGCTGAAGGCTATAGGATGGCCTGACATGCTGGTGGAATAGAAGGCTCCAACTTAAGCAATGTTGTTTGAATACTGGTGTCCTGTGATCTTCTGCTCACACCTCAAAGGGTTAACTGCAAACCGCTACCTTCAGCCTGGTGATGCTCTGTCAGGGCTTGGAAGCTGGCCCTGTGTAGCCGCTGCTCAACCTCCAGATGATAAATCATGTCAGGATACAAAACTGATTCCAGTCCTTAAAAATGAATAGGTGATTTGAAAATGCCCTGTGCTGGTGTGAATTCTGCATCCCCCTCATCAATCACTTGTCATAAATAGCATTAACGTTCAGGAGTCAGCAGAAGGTGGGCAGGTTTGGAGGGGGAAGAAACGTAATGTGATTTCCTGGTACCTTTTGTAGACCAGAATGGCAGTCTTGTTTCCCATTTAGGTAGCTGAGCAAATTTTACATTCTCTCCTCCTTGGGGATAGGAACCTCTGTGCATTGCCAGCCAAAATGTGGCAGTAACCGGAAATAAAGCTAGGAGATGGTTAAATGATAGAAAGTGGCATGGGGCTTGGTTGAAAGAGGATAGGCTGAGAGAGCAAAGGATGCAGAGAAGTGGCACCCACAGCTGTTTGCTCCAGTTGCTGCATGGACTGGGGTTTCCTCCCCATCCCATGAGCCTATTGTCTTTGGGTGGGATTGGGGCACTTGGCTTTTCTCAGAGGGGTGGGAAGCTGTGTTTACACCATCAGGGCAAGGATGCGCTTGGGCAGGAGACCTTTCAGAGCTGCCTGCCGCCGCCAGGCACTGGCCAGCAGCACCTCAAGCCAAATGAGTTATCACCCACAGCGCTGCAGCTTTCCAAGCTGTGTCGTGGATCTGGATGCCCAGTTAGATTCCCATTAACACAGACACTGTTTAGGTGTCCTTGGCTTATCATGAAGCTGAGCCTGGTGCAAGACCCACCTTGGTTCTCTGAGCATGTTTGCTGGAAGAGGTGCCAGGGAGGGCTGCAGCAGCCGGGATGGACGGAGGAGACTTTGGGTTCGACTTTTTTGCTGACTGGCAGTTTGCTGGAGGGATTTGCTCCTGGTTTTGTTTTGTAATGGCTTTATTGCTATAGATTATAGCTTTAACTGAAGTCAAGGGCACCTGGAGTTCTGGATCACCTTCCTTTAGGGATGTTTAATGCTCAGGAAATGATGCTGTTGCAGTTCAGGAAATGAAGCAGTTGCCAACTATTGGGGCTGAGTGTCTTTCAGTCCTGAGGATGTCCATGAAGCATCCAGGAGAGCCAGCATGGGTGGGAGTGGAAAAAGTGCTTGTGTTCTGAGCTTGGGGATAGAGCAAGTCCTGCTCAGAGCTTCTCAGATTCCTCCCAGAGGTGACAGCAGAACGTCCTTTTCTTCCTTTCTTGCGCAAAACCAAGCGTGAGGCTTGGAGTTGAACACTGAGAACACAGCCCAAACACTGGGGTAGCCTTGTGGCCAAAGTGAATGGAGACATGCCACTCATCCAGGGACCTCCCTGATGACCCGCTTTGGGTGTCTGGGGTCAGAGGTGGGTGCCATCAGGACCAATTTAGATGCTGGAGACTCCTTTCTTTGATATGTGTGAGGAGATGCCCTTGTGTGCCAAATTCTGTAGCAAAACTTGATGACAGCTCTTCTGCTGGGATTGTGTATCACCTCAATCTCATTACTTAATGATAATAAAGACAGAAAGAGCAAAACTGGCCTCTTGTCATTCACCAGGGGCCAGATTCTGCTGCCTT